GACCCAGTCTCGTCCCCTCCCACGCACCCTCAGCAGCCAGAGGTCTATTTCTTTCTCTTTATTTCCTGTTTCCCTCTCTTTTTTTGAAATGGAGTCTCACTCTTCTGCCCAGGCTGGAGTACAGTGGCATGATCTCGGCTCACTGAAACCTCTGCCTCCTGGGTTTAAGCAATTCTCTTGCCTCAGCCTTCCAAGTAGCTGGGATTAGAACGGGATTAAAATGGCTTGAATGCCCTTCCCCTCGAAACGCCTTAGGAGGTATTAGTGGAGTGGGTGTTGGTCGGCATTTCGGTGCGTCTGAGCCTCTCATCCTGCATATCTGAGGGTGATGTGACATGGGACTGAGAGCCATCACCTCTGGAGGGAGGCAGTGCCTGAAGCTCTTGACAGCTCCATGCATCTGAGAGGCTGACGCTGTGACCGTGTGAAGACATTCACTCATCCACTTAACACACACTTTGCCCAGCATCTACTCACTCTGTGGTTGCTCTGGGTTAGCTGGCACTGGCCAAGACACCCTCAGCCCTGTCCTCATGGGACTCACAGTCCAGTGGTGGTGACAGACCAGTTCCCAGGCAGTGATGACCAGAGTGGTCATCACTACCCAGTGGCTTGCAACTAGCCACAAATAGCCTCTCTCACCCCAGCGCTGCCCTTCCCCTTGGGGGCCGTCTCCTCCTCCCTTCTTAGCTACTCCAGGACAATGATCTGGCTTGTCTCCCATCTTTCCCCTGTATCATGACTTCTCCCTCTTCTGAAATATTCCCATCAGCATACAAACCCATGATCCCTCCCATCTTCCCCACCCAAGTTCTCTCCCTCCCTGCTTCTCTGCTCTTTCTTCCTCCCTCCTTCACTCCCTTCCTTCCCTCCCTCCCTTTCTTTTTATTTAGAGACAAGGTCTCACTCCGCTGCGAACAGGTGGCATGGCACAATCATGGCTCACTGCAGCCTCGACCACCTGGGCTCAAGCAGTTCTCCCATCTCAGCCTCACATGTAGCATACACCATCACACTTGGCTACTTTTTATATTTTTTTGTCGAGATGGGGTCTCACTATGTTGTCCAGGCTGGTCTCAAACTCCTGGGCTCGATGGATGCTCTCACCTCAGCCTCCCAAAGTGCTGGGATTACAGGTGTAAGCCGCCATGCCCTGCCTCTTCCCCATTTCTTAACATCCCACCCGTTCGCTCGACATTGCAAAGAGGAAGGTCTTCTCTGGCTCTCCTTCCACACCCTCTTGTACCCTCTCCAGTCAGATTCCCATCCCTGCCACGCCGAGGTAGGAAGATCGATTGTGGCCAAGGGTTCGAGACCTGAGCAAAATGGTGAGACCTCACAGAAAGAAAAGAAAAAAGAAAAGGAAAGAGAAAGAGAAAAAAGGAAGGAAGGAGGGGAGGGAGGGAGAGAGAGAGAGAGGCCAAAAGCCAGGCCTGGCTAGTGTACTGGAGTTTAAGAAGTGAGGGAGACTGTGCTGTGGGTCTGGGACTGGAAGTCCACCACGGGGCCACCAAGCTGCCACTCTCCCAGGCACCTCCGCTCCTTGGGAACTCTCGCTAAACTCACTGAAAAGGGAGGTGCTGGTAGAGCCTCCTCTGAATTGAGATCCACTCACCCTAGGTGAGGAAGGGGAGCCGGAGGGAGTGCTGAGGAGGGAGGAGATGCTAGTTAACTTGCACCTTTTTTTTTTTTTTTTTTTTTTTTTTGAGACAGAGTCTTACTTTATCACCCAGGCTGGAATGCAGTGGCACGATCTCAGCTCACTGCAACTGCTGCCTCTGAGGTTCATGCGATTCTCCTGCTTCAGCCTCCTGAGTAGCTGCGATTACAGGGGTCTGCCACCATGCCCCATCAATTTCCATATTTTCGGCTGGACATGGTGGCTCACTCCTGTAATCCCAGCACTTTGGGAGGCCAAGGTGAGATCACCTGAGGTCGGGAGTTCAAGACCAGCCTGACCAGCATGGAGAAACCCCATCTCTACTAAAAATACAAAATTAGCTAGGCATGGTGGCACATGACTGTAATCCCAGCTACTTGGGCAGCTGCAGCAGGAGAATCGCTTGAACCCAGGAGGCGGAGGTTGCAGTGAGGTGAGATCACGTCATTGCACTCCAGCCTGGGCAACAAGAGTGAAACTCTGTCTCAAAGAAAAAAAAAAAAAATTAAACTATAAATTATGATTACTAGGACTGCGCTCGGTGGCTCACGCCTGTAATCCCAGCACTTTGGGAGGCCAAGGCAGACGGATCACAAGGTCAGAAGTTCAAGACCAGCCTGACTAACATGATGAAACCCTGTCTCTACTAAAAATACAAAAAACAGCTGGGCATAGTGGCATGCGACTGTAACCCTCGCTACTCAGGAGGCTGAGGCAGGAGAATCGTTTGAACCCAGAAGCTGGAGGTTGTGGTGAGCCGGTATCGCGCCACTGCACTCCAGCCCGGGCAAGAGCAAGACTCCATCTCAAAAAAATATGATTACTACAACTATCTGTGAGAACATCTCATCAGTTTCTCCCACTGGACTGTGGCCCATGTGAGGGCTATACCCCCAGCCTCAGCACAGGCCAGGTACCCAAAATGTGTGTGTTCAATTAATAAAATACAAGTAAATATAGAACCAGGGCAAAAATCGAGGGCCCCCGATTTCCCAACTACAGCTTCAGCTCCCACAGGGCCAGGCATGGAGGCCTTGGGACCCCCCATTCTCACAGAAATCAACCAACGCGCCCCCAGCTTGGTGGGCAGAGACGAGAGGAACTAACCATAAGGGTAAAGGCTCAGAGTTTTAATCAGTCTGCCATGAAAAGCTCCTGCCCATTCCCCATCCTGGGGCCTCAGAACTTGGCTTTGGATTGGGACAAGGGAGAGGGTAACAGGCTGGGAGAGGTGAGTCAGTCTGAACGCGGCTGAAGGACCAGAGCTGGGGCTGGAAGACAGGGCAGGTGCGAAGGAGCAGAAGACGGCTGCTAACCCCAGGTCCTGAGCCAAGTCAGAAATCCAAGGCCTTTTACAGCATCCAGGAGCCAATGTAGTGAAATCCACACGCGTCACATCATTCTTATCTGTAAAGCGCTGTCATCTGGCGCCCAAGGCACCAGGGCAGGACTGAATCGGGCCTAAAGGGTGTCACTTCAGGTCTGGGGCATCAGGAGAGGCCGCCACCTTGGCCTAGAGAGTTGAGAGCAAGCGTCACGTTGGCCTGGAGGGGGCCTGCAGGAAATGCCACCTTGGTCCAGAGTCGGGAGGAAGATCCCCTGCCTTGGATTAGGAGGGGCCGTCATTTTGGGCCTGCAGAAGGAGGGAAACCATAGGGAGTCCCCAGAGCCCAGGATCAGGGAGGTGTAAGCAGGATAGAGACAGCAATAGGAAGCAAAACCTATCCCACGGCACAGCTGGACTCGGGAAACAAAATCAGGCTGAGAGGGTGGAGCTGAGCTCAAGGAGAAGGAGGAGGCAAGAGACCAGAGAGCAAAAACTAGAAGCAGCCCATGGAACAAGGACCCAGCTGGTCGGGCACGGTGGCCCGCGCCTGTAATCCCAGCACTTTGGGAAGTGAGGTGGGCAGATCAGCTGAGGCCAGGAGTTCAAGGCCAGCCTGGCCAACATGGTGAAACCCCATCTCTACTAAAAATAAAAAAACGAGTCAGGCACGGGGGTACCCACCTGTTATCCCAGCTAGTTTTTTTTTTTTTTTTTTTTTTTGAGATGGAGTTTCGCTCTTGTTAACCCAGGCTGGAGTGCAATGGCGCGATCTGGGCTCACCGCAACCTCCGCCTCCTGGGTTCAGGCAATTCTCCTGCCTCAGCCTCCTGAGTAGCTGGGATTACAGGCACGCACCACCATGCCCAGCTAATTTTTTGTATTTTTAGTAGAGACGGGGTTTCACCATGTTGACCAGGCTGGTCTCGATCTCTCGACCTCGTGATCCACCCGCCTCGGCCTCCCAAAGTGCTGGGATTACAGGCTTGAGCCACCGCGCCCGGCTTATCCCAGCTAGTTTTAAGGCTGAGGCAGGAGAATCGCTGGAACCTGGGAGGTGGAGGTTGCAGTGAGCGGAGATCGTGCCGCTGCACTCCAGCCTGGGCAATGGAGACCCTGTCTCTAAACAAAGACCCAGACTAGGAGGAGGGAAGTTCTGGCGGTGGAGCCAGGATGGGAGAAGCAGCCAACAGAGTGAAGGAAGACAGCGGGGAAGCTGTGGCATATCCTGAGTTCCTGTGGGAAGAATGGGAACAAGCCCCCATACCATGAGCAGAAACCAAACTCAGAAAGGCAGAGCGCAGCCCAGTGTGCTGGCTCGCACCTGTAACCCCAGCACCTTGGGAAGCCAAGGTGGGAGGATCTCCTGAGCCCGGGAGTTTTAAGACAAGCCTGAGCAACATAATGAGACCTTCCCTCTTCAAAAGGTCAGAAGAAAAATTAACCAGGCAACTGGGTGTGGTGGCCTAGGTCTGCAGTCCCCAAACTCTGGGAGGCTGCGGTGGGAGGATCACTTGAGCCCGTGGTTGAGGCTGCAGTGAATGCTGACCCTGCCACTGCACTCTCGCCTGGGTGACAGAGACCCTACCTCAAAAAAAAAAAAAAAAAAAAAAGGAGAGATAAAAAGAAAAGAAAGGCAGAAGAAAAAATATGACATGGTGAGCCCCTAGAGTGGAAACAGTTTAAGGAGCAACTATTTATCAAAGGCTGGAGCCAAGCCCCAGGGGAAGGCTCAGAACCAGGGAGCAGGGTCAGGATTAGCGGGGAGGAACCACGTCTAAGGGTAGTGGGGCCCTGGTCTCCACAGCAGGGATTGAACTATATCCAGTACAAGGCATTATCCAAGGGGACCGGATTAGCCCCCACCGGTGACACCAAGATGGGGGCGGGATACGGGGGTTGATAAAAGACACAAGGAGCCGGGCACGGTGGCTCACGCCTGTAATCCCAGCACTTTGGGAGGCCGAGGCGGGAGGATCACCTGAGGTCCGGAGTTCGAGACCAGCCTGGCCAACATGGTGAAACCCCGTCTTTAAAATAAAAAAATAAATAAAATAAAAAGGGACACAAGGGACAGAGTCAAGCTCCAGAGGCAGCAAGGCCTACCCCCAAACTGCAGAGCCAGGTAGAGAAGTAGAATCATGGCTAGGCCCGCGGCCCCGGGTCCTGCTCAGGCTCGGTACCCGGCACGCCGCGGATGTCCGGCAGCAGGCGGCAGCCAGCCACGATGTCCAGGCGCTCAGCCAGCGCGGAGAGGTCCCCGCGTGCCAGGCGCACGCTGTGGGCCGCCGCCAGCCCTGCCGCCTGGGCTGCCGCCAGCCTACTAGCCAGGGCGGCCACGTCGCGGCCCGCACGGCGGTACACACCGCTCACGGCGGCCGCCACGTCGTGGTCCAGCCGAGCCTGGCTCTCCGCCAGCCGAAGTTGCAGGAGCGAGCGCGCGGGGGCGGGCGCCGGGGCCTCCTCCGCGCCCCAGGCCTCCTCCGCCGATTCCCGCTGCACCACGAGCGGAGGCAGGTCCCTGGGCGCGGCCGTCGGCTCAGGCTCCGGGTCCGAGTCGGTCTCCGCGGCTTCCCCAGCCACCCGCAGCCCCGTGGGGCGGCCGCGCGTCGGGCCCGAAGGACCCAGGTACAACTCCTCCTCCTCGGACGAGGACGCAGAGGGCTCCGAATCTGTCTCGGTCGCTTCCCCCGGCACCACCGTCTCCAGCCTCCGCGGGTGCCTCCGCCGCCGACTCTGGGACGCCATGGCGCCGAGCTAGGGGAGAAGAGCGACGGGACTGCACGTGAGACGGACGCCGCGGTGGGTAAAAGGCGCAGGACCTGGATTCCCAGCCCCTTCGCTGATTCTCTTGAGGACTTGGGGTCAGCTGCTCCCCCTGTCTGGGCCTCAGTTTCCTCTTCTGTAAACTGGGTGATGATGAGGGTTACTGGACCCCAGGCTCTTCAGTGTACAGATGGGGAAACTGACCAGCTCGATCATGGCTCTGGGGCCCGAGTTCCCGGAGTCCCAAGCTGAGCTCTTTACGAATTTGCCTCTCAGTAGAGGCCACACCCTCCACCTGGTCCACCATGCCAGTCTTAGAGCCGGAAGCACTCGGGCCCGTGAGCTGCTCGGGACCAGTGCCAGAGTCTCAGAAAGGATGACAGCCCGACTCGACTCCGCAGGGGACACTCGTGGGATAGGAAAGCGCTATCGCCAAAGACCATACCCTGCAGCTGACGCTCAGAGCCTGCGGGATCTGCTTCCTAGCCGGAGTGCTGCGTCCTCACCTTGGCAGCTGAAGGGCTGTGATCTCGACCAATAGGGAAGCGGGTTGGGCGGGCAATAGCGGCCAAGTCACGTGAGCTCGCCCAGCTACCAATCAGAAAGCAAGCTCTCAGCATCAGCTTTGAGGGCGTGTGCAGAGGACGCACCTGAATGGAGGAACCGCCAATAGAGAAGCGGCTGGGCCGGCTCTTCCGGGGTTGTGCGGCGAGGAAAAGTCTATAGCGGACAAATAGGGGTTTTAAAAGCCGAATATGTCACGTGTAAAACCAGTAATTCGGCCAATAGGAATGCTCGAGAACCCGGAAATAGGGAAGGGACGGAAGTAAGGGCAAAAGATGTCCCGTGTGGCCAATCAGATGCGGAGTAGGCCCGCCCCCTAGTGGCCCAGGCTCACGCGCGCACCACGTGAAGCTGAAGCGAGGAGGCGGGGCTAGCGTAAAACACCAATGGAAGCGGTGGTAGGAGGGCTCGCGCCCTGACGCGAGAGGCGGGGCTTACCCAGCCTGGCCAATGAGAGCGGGAAGGGCTGGGCGCTTCTTTAGGCGCGCGAGGAGTGGGCATGGCGGATGCTGTGCTGTTCGAGTTTCTTCACATGGAGATGGTGGCGGAGTTGTGCGCTCACGACCCCGACCCCGGTCCGGGGGTGAGCGCCGAGCCCCGGGGGGAGGAACCGGGGGGCCGCCTCGGGGAGCGTGGAGGGCGCGTCAGCTGTCCGGGTTCGAATCCCAGCCTAGCCCCTGCCTTGCAGGGCAACATCTGGCGCTGGCTTCTTCCTCCGGAAAGTTGTTGGGTTCGCGAGGCGGGGTTATTGCTAAGTTGAGCGAGATGACTCAGGGTAAAGCACTTAACTCGAGGCCTGAGTAAGCGGCTGGTAATCGCAGTAATGCTGTTATTGGGCGTGCGCCGAGGACTCGCCTCCGCCACTCACTAGGTGTGCGACCCAGTGACTTAATCTTTTTGTGTCCTAGTTTTCTCTTCCGTAAAGTGACCATCATAACGTACCTAAGCCTCAGAGTGGGACATTTACTCATTCGACACCCACTTAGTGAGCGCCTGTTGTATTCCAGGCACTCTCATACAGAATCCCTGTCCTCCTGAAGCTTACATTTCACTAGGGGAGTCAAATAATTAACAGAAATATGCCGCTGGGCCCGGTGGCTCACGCCTGTGATCCCAGCACTTTGGGAGGCCGAGGTGGGCTGATCACCTGAGGTCCGGAGTTCGACACCAACCTGGCCAACATGGCGAAACCCCACCTCTACTAAAAATACAAAAATTAGCCAGGTGTGGTGATGGGCGCCTGTAAGCCGAGCTACCCAGAAGGCTGAGGCAGGAGAGTCGCTTGAACCCAGGAGGCGGAGGTCAGGAGTTCAAGACCAGCCTGGCCAATGGTCTTGAGGAAACTTGCAGAGATGGTGAAACCCTATCTCTACAAAAGTTAGCCAGGCATGATGGCAAGTGCCTGTAATTCCAGCTACAGGGGAGGCGGAGACAGAATGGCTTGAACCCAGGAGGCGGAGGTTGCAATGAGCCAAAGTCCCGCCATTGCACTCCTGCCTGGGCAATGGCAGGACCTCGGGACCAAAAAAAGAGATGAGTTTTGCTGTATTGCCCAGGCTGGTCTCGAACCCCTAGGCTCAAGTGATTCTCCCGCCTAAGCCTCTCAAAGTGCTAGGATTATAGGCGTGAACTACTGTGACCGGCCTAGGAGTGTGTGTGTGTATATGTATGTGTATGACAAGGTCCCTCTCTGTCACCCAGGCTGGCTGGAGTCATGGCTCATTGCTGCCTCAACCTCCTGGGCTCAAGTGACCATCCCACTCCTCAGCTTCCCAAGTAGCTGGGACCACAAGCGGGGCTGGCACCACCATGCCTGGCTAATTTTTGCATTTTTAGTAGAAATGGGGTTTTGCCATGTTGGCCAGGCTGGTCTCAGAACTCCCAACCCCAGGTGATCTGCATGCCTTGGCCTCCCAAAGTGCTAGGATTATAGGCGTGAGCTAAGGGGCTGGGCCTTGTTTTGTTTTGTTTTGTTTTTGAGATGGGGGCCTCACTCTCACCCAGGCTGGAATGCAGTGTCGCAGGGTTGGCTCATGGCAGCCTCCACCTTGAAGGCTCAAGTGATCCTCCCCACTCAGCCTCCTGAGTAGTTGGGACTATAGGTATGCTTCATCCCACCTGGCTAATTCTTCCTTTGTTTTTTATTTTTTTGAGTTAGAGTCTCACTCTGTCGCTCAGGCTGAAGTGCAGTGGCGTGATCTCGGCTTACTTCGACGTCTGCCTCCCAGGTTCAAGTGAGTCTCCTGCCTCAGCCTCCCGAGTAGCTGGGACTACAAGCACACGCCACCACACGCAGCTAATTTTTTGTACTTTTAGTAGAGATGGGGTTTCACCATGTTGGCCAGGATGACCTACTTTTTGTAGAGACAGGGTTTTGCCATGCTGACCAGACTGCTCTTGAGCTTCTGGACTCAAGCAATCTGCCTGCCTTGGCTTCCCAAAGTACTGGGATTACAGGCATGAGCTGCTGGGCCTGGCCTATATGTAAGACATTTTTACTGGCTCTGGTTTCCTTCCAGGAAGCCCCAGAGAGGATGTTGCTTGTTACCATCTCAATGTACAGATGTAAACTATCATAAGTTGGAAACATCATAAATAAACAATACGTTTAGCTAGGTGTGGTGACTTACACATGTAATCCCAGCTACTCAGCAGGCAGAGGTGGGAGAATCACTTGAGGCCCAGCGTTCAAGACTAGCCTGGGCAGCATAGCAAGACCCCACCTCTAAAAGAAATTTTAAAAATTAGCTGGGTGTGATGACACGTGCATATACTACCAGCAACTCGAGAGGCTCAGGTGGGAGGATCGCCTGGGCCCAGGAGTTTAAGGCTGCAGTGAGCCATGATCATGCCACGGCACTCCAGCCTGGGCGATGGAGAGAGACCCCGTGTCTGAGAAAACATGGGGATTACTCATTGAACCATCAAAAATCTTTGCCCTCCTGGAGCTTCCTCATCGTTGGAGGAGACAGACAAGTCAATGAGTAAAGTATCTGGTACATTGTGTAACTGCTATGAGGAAGGCACAGCACGGCCCAGGGAGTGTGCATCAGCCTGGGGGCGGGTAGTCGTGTCTCAACTCTCCATATCCTTACTGGCTTTCAAACCAGAAGCCCCGGAGTCCCGACACCTGCCTTTTCTCCCTCACCTTCAGTCCTCCACCAGGCTCTGGCCAGCTGGCTGTCTAAATACCTTTCCTGTGTGGCCCCTTCTCTGCGCTTGTCCAGCGCTTTCTCCTCTGCTCCTGTAAAAGGAGACTGCTCCCTCCTCCCGGCTCATTCCACCTGTCACATCTTCATCATGCTAACACCCGTTCCTCCTCCTGATCTCAGCTTAACTCTCCTTCCCCAGGGAAGCGTTCCCTGCTCCCGAGTTTGGATCTCCTTTATACGTTGTCTGGTCTCCCTCTCCCACTTTTTTCTTGGTAGGCTTTATCACACTCAATAAGGATGTATTTGATTTTTTTTTTTTTTTTTTTTTTTTTGAGACGGGGTCTCGCTCTGTTGCCCAGGCTGGAGTGCCGTGGCACGATCTTGGCTCACTGTAACCTCCACCTCGCGGATTCAAGCTATTCCCCTGCCACAGCCTCCTGAGTAGTTGGGATTACAGGCATGCGTCACTTTGCCCAGCTAATTTTGTATTTTTAGTAGAGATGGGGTTTCTCCATGTTGGTCAGGCTGGTCTTGAACTCCCAACCTCAGGTGATCTGCATGCCTCGGTCTCCCAAAATGCTGAGATGACAGGCATGAGCCACTGCCCCCGGGCTTGATTTACTCTTGAGAGTCGTGCTGTGTCACCCAAGCTGGAGTGCAGTGGCATGGTTGTAGTTCGCTGTAGCCTTACACTCCTCGGCTCAAGTGATCCTCCCATCTCAGCCTCCCAAGTAGCTAGGAGTGCAGGAGCGCACCACCATGCCCTGCTAATTTTTTATTTTTTGTAGAGATGTGTTCTCACTGTGTTACCCAGGCTGATCTTAAACTCCTTGGCTCAAGGAATCCTCTGGCCTCAGCCTCCCAAAAACTCATACCTGGAATTACAGATGTGAGCCACCACACCCTGCCAGGATGCTTCTGAATTGTGTATCTGTATGACCCTTTGATTCACATTCGTCTCCCCCTGCCACAATGCACTCTGTGTGGGATGGGCCTGGGTTTGTGTTGACCACCACCGTATGCCCTGGCCCGTAGTGGGTCCTCAGCATGGGGGTGTTGAGGAGGTGAATGCACGCCCTGTCCCATGGTGGGTGGGGAAGTGTGGGAGCTGGGGGTCATTTGGTTTATAAGCAGTGTGGCTGTTCCCTCCCTCCTCCAACATGAGTGCTTCCTGTGCACGCTCATGGCTCTACAGTCTTGATGTTGTTTGATCTTCTGACGACCCGGAGAGGTCGGCATGGTCCTTCCGCTTTATAGATGAGGCGACGGAGGCTTTGATGGATGGAGTTCCCTGCAAGCGGCAGAGTCAGGAATGCGACCAGGCCTCCCACTTCCAAAGCTTGTGCTGTAAACTCTCACTTGCATTTCCCAGTATTTGCTCTGGGAGGGATTTTAATGGGTTTCTGTGGTCAAGTGAGTGTGGGAAACTGGCTTGCTCAGCTCACCGCCGGCCTTTCAGAGTACACGAATGCGCCTGGGACCTGGACAGGGGTTCCCTACCCAGCTGCCACTGAGCCTCAGGCCTCAGAAAGCTCCCAGGTGGCTCTCGGGTGCAGCCAGGGGCAAGAACTGCGTAATTTCCCCACCCTCCTTCCTTCTGGGGAGCCTCGTCTTTCAGGGGGCCTCACGAGAAATGGCTTCACTTCTCCTTTCTCTTCATTGGTCCCAACTCTTCTCTCCATTCCTTCTCTTTGGCCCAAAAGGGTTCCTCTGAGCCAAGCAGGCCTCCCGTTGTCTGCGGACGTCTGTCCAATACTGGCAGCGTTTCCTGGATGGTCATCAGAGCAGCCCTCCCGATCCACAGAGAAGGAACGGCGCGCTTGGGAGGCGAAGGGATTTCCCGAGGCCATGCAGCGAGAATCAAAGGCAGTCAGAACCCAGGCTTCTGGCCCCAGGGCTTCCGGGTAGCGCAGGCCTGCCTTTCCCACCAGCTCCAGAGCTCCCTGAGGACAAAGATGGCGGCTCCTTCATGTCTGTCCCCAGCAGCACCGCTCCCGAGCCACAGCCAGCCTGTAGGGCTTTTGTGGCCCCCTGTCTTACAAATACGGTGGTTATTGGTGGCCGTTCTCCTGTGCTGTCACAGGATGTGAAGTGGGGACCGGCCAGAGGCGCTGGGGACCTTTGTTCCCAAAGCAGGAGGAGCCCTTGGAGGAAGCAGCCAGGGCTTTTCTACCTCAGAGGCTTTGAAGACAAGTGAAGCCTTTAGGCAAAGAGAGCATTCCTGAGTCTGGGTAGTGAAGAGCTGAGGCGCCGCCACCCGCTGTCCGAGGCCAGGCCTGAGATGCCCCCGAACAGCCTGCTGGGCCAGGCCTCCATCCACCATGCCCTTGGAGTGCATTTGGACAGCCCTTTAGGAGGGCGTGGGGCAGGCGGAGCGGTCATGGTCCCTGCCCGCAGCCCGGAATGCAACGGTGAGCCTGTGAGGCTGGGAGCCCCATCGAGGCCCTCCTGGGAACTGGGCTCCGTCCCGAAGGCGATGGGAGCCACGGCAGGGTTTAAACTGAGGTGCGCCTGGCTCAGATGTACATTCCAGAAGGGCCTCCCTGGCCACAGGAATGGACTGAATGGAGGGTGGCCTGGGAAGAGCCCCACCGCTGCAGGAGCTTAGGGCAGAGGCTGTGGCGGGCTAAACCTGCAGGGCTGGGCGGGGACAGGATGGGACATCTGAGTGGGACGCCTTGCTGGACGAGGGAGGAGAGTTGGGGAGTCACGCCGGCTTCTCGCACCTACCCCTCACTCACCCGTGTGCCAGCACTTCTCTCTGTGCTCTTCTTAAGGCAGGAACCAGGGTTCCCCACCACACCCCGGGTCTCGCAGGCAGGGCCTCTGCAGGTGGAGGTTGAACAGGGTCAGCCTCTGCCCAGGAGCCGGCAGGTGCCTCTAAAACAGCCAAGGGGCGGGGCAGACGAGAGACTGGAAGGAGGCAGCACGTGGCCCCCGGCTCCCCGCCCAGCTTCAGGGCAGAATGTGCTTTTACTAAGCCTTGCTGCTCGTGAGGTCCCAGAGGTAGCTGCTGTTAATGTTACCCTCGTGTGAGCTGGGCGTGGGGGCTCATGCCTTGTAGTCCCAGCTACTTGGGAGGCAGAGGTAAGAGGATCACCTGAACCCAGGAGGTGGAGGCTGCAGTGAGCCGAGATCCTGCCATCGCACTCCAGCCCGGGTGGCAGGGTGAGACCCTGTCTCAAACACAAAGTGGCCCTCCGTTTACGTATGAGGAAACTGAGGCACAGTCAGCCACTGGCCCAGGGCCCACACCCGGTAAGTGCTGGGGCAGATCTGGACCCGGGTGGGTGGCTCTATACCAGTGCTGGTGTGAAGGACCCAAGAGCAGAGGTCTCTTCCCACCCTGTCTCTCACACACCTGCCCATGTCCTGCAGTCATCAGACGCTTCCCTGAGCCCCTGCAGTGTGGCTGGCCCTGCTGTGCCTGAGGACACCAGAGGGAGCGCCAGCACAGCGCAACAGAAAGCTGTGTCGCTGTCACCCATGAGAGCGAGGCCTGCCAAAGGGGCCGGGCAGGGGAAGGGGCAACTTGGCTTGAGATACGGGCGACCTCTGCTCAGGCCTCCCATTCCTGGCAGTCCCCACCTCCGCTAGGCCACTAGCCATGACTGTCACCCCCAACACGCTCCTATCTGGACCTGCTGGGGTGTGAAAGACAGCCCTGTGCTCAGGGTGCCATGGATAGGTTCACAGTTTCCACCAGTGAAATACAGCCTCCTTGTGAGGCTGGAAAGGTGTAACGGCTATAGAAAACGCCTGGCACAGCGCAGCGGCTCACGCCTGTAATCCCAGCACTTAGGCTGAGGCGGTTGAATCACAAGGTCAAGAGTTTGAGACCAGCCTGGCCAACATGGAGAAACGCTGTCTCTACTAAAAATACAAAAAATTAGCCGGTGTGGTGGCGCATACCTGTAATCCCAGCTCCGGAGGCTGAGGCAGGAGAATCGCTGAACCCAGGAGGTGAGGTTGCAGTGAGCTGAGATTGTGCCGTTGGACTCCAGCCTGGGCGACAGAGCAAGATTCCTTCTCAAGAACAACCACAGAAAATGCCTGGCACACAGTACGCCGGTCCTGGAATAACATTTGTGTTGTGACGTTGATGAGAAAAGAATACCGATTCCGGGGGCCGCTGTCTGGCTGGTGTTTGCAGGCTCTCCCTCTGCTGGTGCAGGTTCCTCTGGGCAATCCTTGGGATGTGTCCACTGGGTGAGCTGTGGGGTCTCCGTGGGCCCAGCGTGAGTGTGGGCCTCTGTGCACCCTGTGACAGGACAGCATCCTCTCCAGGATCCGTCCCAGCTTTTGTCCCTGCTGGGATGGGCTTTGGCCCCCCAGGACCCTGAGCTGGTAGAAGTGAGTAAACAATTGGGTTACTTGATTTTTGTTTTATTTTTGGGGACAGGTTCTCATTCTGTTGCCCAGGCTGGAGTGCAGTGGCTCACTGCAGCTGCGACTTCCTGGGCTCAGGCGATCCTCCCACCTCAGCTTCCCAAGTAGCTGGGACATGGGTACCTGCCACCACACCTAGCTAATTTTTGTATTGTTTTTTTGAGACAGAGTCTTGGTGCACTTTGTCTGGTCAGCCTGTCTGTTAAGTCCCACCCATATGGCAAGCCCTGTGTTGGCTGCAGGCCAGATGTGAATTGGTCAGCCTGGGTCCCCGCCTTCACAGAGCTGCGTCCTCATCCAGTGACAGTGCGCAGTGGGCAGGGCTGGGGACGAAGGCTGGGAGGGAGGGTGGGAGGGAGGGAAGGGAGCCAGTAGAAAGGCCCAGAAGTCGGCTGGGCGCGGTGGCTCACGCCTGTAATCCAAGCACTTTGGAGGCCAAGGCGAGCAGATCACCTGAGGTCGGGAGTTCAAGACCAGCCTGGCCAACCCCTTCTTTAAAAAAAAGAAAAAAAGAAAGGCCCAGAAGTCTGAGCCTTCCTGACCAAGGAAAGCAAGTATTAGGGGACAGCAGAGAGGGTGATGAAGGCATGGAGGCAGCTGGGCGAGCAGCCTTCCTCAGACACCCTCTCCAGGGCTGGAGCCAAGCAGAGAATTCCTGTCCCCATTCAAATGGCTGCGGTGATGGTGCAGCCATTCCCGAGGGAAGGTGGTGGTTGAGGGCAGGAGAGGGAGGGCTGGAGGGCTCAGGCCTGGTGACTGCAGGCTCCTGAGAGCAGCTAGCAGAAGGGTGGGTTTCCTCCAGCTCACGGTTCCCACCTCTCCTCCGTTGCCCAACTTCTGATCTGCTGGGCTTTCTCTGAGAAATCTGGTACCTCATGCCTAAGCCATCCTGGGGTTTCTGGTGCCCCCAGTCTGGGCCTCCTCCCTTCCTCTGCTTGCAGCAGATCACCTGAGGAAAAAGTAAAAAAAAAAAAAAAAAAAAAAAAATCCATGGCCAGGTGCAGTGGCTCTCGCCTGTAATCCCAGCACTTTGGGAGGTCAAGGCGGGCCAATCATTTGAGGCCAGGAATTCAAGACCAGCCTGGCCAACATGGTGAAACCCCATCTCTACCCAAAATATGAAAATTGCTCACATGTGCTGATGCACAAGCCTGTAATCCCAGCTACTTGGGAGACTGAGGCAGGAGAATCGCTTGAACCCAGGAGGCAGAGGTTGCAGTGAGTCAAGATCGTGCCATTGCACTCCAGCCTGGGCAAAAGAACGAGTCAGTGTCTCCAAAAAAGAAAAACCCATGAGCACGTCTCCTCCAGCTGTGCTGTCCACACAGGCACATGGGCAGACAGCACGTGCAGCCCTCCTGCCATGCCTGCTGCCTGGGGCTTGCCTCTGCCAGCACAGTCCCCTCCCGTGTGGACCCTGGCCTGTCCTCCAGACACCATGTGGCCACCACTGCCCTTCCCAAGCACCCAAAGGAAGATCTGCCTGTCCTGAGCTTCCTTCCACGTGTCCCCGCAGGGATCTTGGCCAGTACTGTAAGGCATGACGATCAGGGTTACGTCCCAGAATGTTGTGAGGGTTCACACTCAAAGCACTCGCAGTGCATGACATGTATTATCAGGAAGAGTTATACAGTGGGGAGGGGTTCTGGGGAAGACCCCCATTGTTCCTGAAGGAAGGAGCATCTGGTCCTTGGAGCCTGACAGTCGGGATCCAGAGAGCCTGCTAGGTCTGCAGAGGAGGGTAAGAGAGCCCTGGCACCCTAGAGGCCTGCCCCTGCCCTGCCAGGCTGTGCTAGAACCCGTCCCTGCTCACCCCTGAATTGACAGGCACCAGCAAGTTGGTCTTCGGGTCCCCTTGCAGGTGTCCCCCTGGGTGGCCCTGCGTTCGAGGTGGCCAACCTGAGCTTCTCTCCCCTGGCCCTCTAGGGACAGAATACGAACCTGTCAGTCCTGGAGAGTATGGGCTTCCGCGTGGGCCAGGCTCTAGGCGAGAGGTGAGAGCGGCCCCTCCTGCTCTCCCCCAGCCTGGCTGGCGGGGTTGGGCAGGCCCCGGGCGGGGAGGATTGCATTGCTCCATGTGGGAGTCAGGCCTGGCTTCCTCCCTCTTCCTGGCCTGGCCCCATGTCCTCAGTCTGGCACTGCCCCACCAGGCTACCCCGAGAGATGCTGGCCTTCAGGGAGGAGCTGGATGTCCTCAAGTTCTTGTGCAAAGACCTGTGGCTGGCCGCATTCCAGAAGCAGATGGACAGCCTGCGCACCAATCACCAGGTGGGAGCACCCAGGCCTGCCAACCCGCCCCACTCCCTCCCGAGGGCGTGGCCAGGAGAGTGGGAGGGGAAGCCCCGGGGCCTGCCCAGAGCTTTCCCACCGGCAGCCCCACAGCTCTTAGTGGGTCTCTGATCCTCTCAGGGAAGCCAGGAGGCTGCACTAGGGTATAGGGGGTGTTTCCAGAACCTCCCCAGCCCCGCCTACCAGGAGTGAGCCACGCATGGGCAGAAAGCCCCTGGTGGCTACCTGCCCTCTCCCCAGTGCAATGCCAACTTGTCCCAAGCTGGTCCAGTCCCCCAGTGAACACCCACGCTGTGCTGCCCCTCTGCCACTTCCTGGGCTGGGTCCCCAGCTTTTCTGCACAAACCAGGGAGGTGGGGGCAGGACTCACACTCCCCAGGGCAGGGGTACCCAGCCCAAGTCAGGAAGCCCCATGTACAGAGCACTGGAGACCAAGGCCATGACTCTAGCAGTTCTCACGGAGGGGGCCTTCCCAGCCTCAGCCCAATTTAGGCCCTGGGTTGCCGCTTCCCCTCCCTGCACTTCAGATGTACAGGCCCCGCCCCCACCCATGGCCTCTCCTCTCCCTCAGGGGACCTATGTCCTGCACGACCACAGCTTCCCCCTCCTCCTCCCCATGGCTGCTGGCCTGCAGTATCTTGAGGAAGCGCCCAAGGTATGGGGGGGGCTGGGGCCTGTCCACACCGCCCTTCCTATGTACCCAGCCTCAACCCCATGTCAGGCCTCTCCCCAGGCCTAAGGGGTACCCCAGACCTCGGGTACCAGCCTCCCCTCTTCCCACACTGGTCTGTGTCCCCTTCCCAGTTCCTGGCCTTCACTTGCGGCCTCCTGCGTGGCGCCCTCTGTACCCTGGGCATCGAGAGCGTGGTCACCGCCTCCGTGGCAGCCCTGCCTGGCTGTGAGTCATGGCGGTGGGGGGGCGGGATTCCTCTCATCTCTGGAGTTGCTGGGGGCCTCGGAGCTCTGGCTTGCTCCTATGTTGGTGCCTGGGAGGCGGGCCCAGGCGTTAAGTCACCTGCTTAGCCACACAGCAGGGGCAGGCCCATCTGCGCCCCTGGCCCCATGACTTCCCCAGCGCTGCACAGAGAACTGTCTGGCACAGTTCTGGAACAGAGTCTGGAACACAGCGTCCTCCTGGGGAGCAGGCTGGGGGCTGGAGTGCAGTGTCTGTGGTTTGAACACCTCCCCCCAGCACAGGAGCCCAGGTGGACATAATAGAAGTCACCCTCGCTGATACTTTGGTGGCGGATGGCCAGGCACCTGGGAACTTGCAGCCTGCCTGATGGAGTCTTCTCTGTCAAACAAGCTGGAGCCCCATTCCTGCCTGGGGACAGCCTGCCCAACCACTTCCCCCAGTTATTTTCCCTCTGCCAGTTCCCCAGGCCCACTCATGGGGGGCCCCAGTGGGTAGGACTGAGGAGGCATACCACGGAAGCCCGTGCAGTGCCCTCATATTTCTGGTTACCCACGCAGGGATTCAGGCCACATGGGTGGGGGAAGGAAAAAGCCCCCGCCCAGCCACTGGGCTGTCAGTGTGGGACGGGTGAGCCCTGGAGAGCCATCCAGGTGTCCTCTGCCTCTCCCTCATCCCAGCCTCCAGCCTGAGCCAGTCCTTCTCTTCCAGGTAAGTTCCAGGTGGTGATTCGGAACGCCTGAGCCCCCCCCGAACCTGCTGAGCACACTGCTGCCCCCACCCTCACTGGCCTCAGGAGACGGTGGCTGCCTTGGGCCCTGGGCTGCTGCATTTGGGGGTGGTCTTGGGGCCGGTGCTAGGTATCCCAGGCTCTAGGGGTCACATATACTCAGGAAGTGGGTATCAAAGCGAGGTGGGGTGTCACAGGAGGCAAAGAGGTTCCAGCCGCAATCCGGACGGGGGTGGGACTCCTGCCTCAGCGGCGTCGCTGCCCAGCAGGTGTTCAATAAAGGCTGTGTGTGTGGAATCCGACTCGGAGCAGTGGGAAAGGATCGGCGGGGCGACCGTCACAGCTCCTGCAGGGGAGTGGGCACCCTCTCTGGCCCCCATGCCCTTCAGACCCTCCCCTGCCAGGCCCGCCTCCGCTCCCTCCCTCCCTGAACTCCTGGCAGAGGGATGCTGGCCCCCGGCACAGGCGGCCTTGTTAGCATCTCTGCCGAGTCGACAAGTCTGGGGCTGCCCTCTGCCCAGCAACGTATATGGAACAGAGCGTCTTCCTGGGGAGCAGGGCTGGGGGCCCCTGGAGTGCAGGCAGGGGTGGGCCGGGGGTGGGGGGAGGCAGGCACCCTCATGCACACATGTGGCTCCTACCCACTCCTGATGCCCGTCCTTGGGCAGAGTGGCCCTTACACTGCCCCCTCCTGCCGTGCTCCCATCTCTAGCATCTGGGGATACCTGGGCTTCGCCACCCACCGCCTCACATGGGTAAGTGCCCCGCCTCAGAGCTGCCAACTGAGGCTGGGGGTGAAACCCAAATGCAATGAGAAACGGTCCCCTTGCCGAAGACACTCCCCTGTAGAGTGGGGTCCAGTCACCCCATCAGCCCCTACTTGAGTCACCCCTTCCCAGCCTACCTGGCTGAGCGGGGTCCTGACTTGCATCTGCCACTGCAGTGCGGCCCCTGCCTGGCCTGCTCCCCAAACTCCGGCTCCCCCTAGTGTCTAGCAGCTTCCTGGCCGGGTGTCTCATTGTTACCTTGGGCCAGGCTTCGTGCTGGGGTGGGCAGTTGGGGCTTGACTTGGAAGCCCACCACAGACACCAGCCCCGCCCTCCTGGTGGGCCAGGGGGGACCTTCCCAGAGCAGCCAGTGTGAGGGGTGGGGGAAGAGACAGAGCCGGTCCCATCCCAGGTAGCAGGAAGGGCCCTGGTTCCGGCCATAGGGAGCAGAGTTTGCTCACCCGGGTAGAACCCAGGGCCAGGTGGGTTCCCTTTACCTTGTCCTGGGCACTGTTCCGGGGCTGCCTCCCCCATCCGCATCAGAGCGCCCTGGCTCTCAGGGAAGGGACTGTTGACCCCATCACACCAGCAGCCTCGGAGTCGGCCCCGGAGAGCCAAGGGGTCTCCAGGGCATCTCCTGCCAGGCTCTCTCTGGCCCTCACCTCTCAGAGGGCGTCTGTGGAGAGTCACTGGCCCCAAAGGCAGGAGACAGCTTAGCGAGCCTGGGAGTAGCAGCCACTGCCTGTTTCCAAACCCCCGCTCTGCCTTCGTGTGCCCTGGGCCCAAGGACTTCACTTCTCTGGGCCTCAGTGTCCTCATCTGGGAAGCGGGCATCACAGCTGGCCCCCTAGATGGTGGTGAGGAAGAGGCCTTGGTGTGTGTGCTGCTCCCTTTGTCCTGTGGACGTCGCTTTAGAGCAGCGCCAGGTGAATGGGTCAGCACGGCCCCGGTCAGGCGCACCAGGCCCTGAGCCCGCGACTCCCACCCGGTGCCTCCCTCCAGACAACCATGAGAGGCAGGTACCCACTCAGCAGTGAGGAAGCCGAGGTGCAGAGAGTGAAGTCACGTGCCCAGGGTCACATAGCTGGGCAACAGAGGAGCTGGCCTCTGAGCCGGACTCCGTCCCTATCCCAACTCCTCGTCCCCCGCAGCAGAAGCGCCCGGACCCGTGGCTGCCTTGAGGAGACTCAGCACTGCGGGCTGCATCTCATCCCCGACCAGGGACAGGGGCACAAGACGGAGTCCAGTCCGAGCCCCGTCCTCGAGAGCAGAGAACACTGGGACAGGCGGGCGCTACGGAAGGGGTGGGGACAGGCGGGCAAACCGGTCGGGCGGGCGCTGGGCTGGGGCTTCCCTCTGGATGGGCCTGCGCTGACAGTCCCAGCTGGCAGCAGCTCACGGGGCAGGCAGCTGGGGCCGTGAGGCCGCGGTGCATCAGGTACGAGGGGACCTGGGACGGGGGGTGGGGAGTGGCGAGCAGGTCCCCGACCCTCAGCACCCCAATTTCAACTGCCCCTCAGCCTGTCCCTGTCCCCCACCCAGCATCCTTCCCAGTCCTGCTTTTGGCTCTTCATGTTTGAAACTCCATACACCCATCGCGCTCGAGTTTGCTGAGCCTCTCCCCAAATTGGACCGCTGCAGTTTCACTGCTCCCCGACAATCCCCCCTCCACGGCATCCTTCAGTCCCCACAGGTACCCAGCTCTGTTTTCCTTTACCCTGCTTCTTAGCTGCTCCCCAGCTCACCGCACTTGCTCCGTGTCCCTCCAAAGCGTGCCAGCCTCCCACAGCGCCCTACACCTTAATCACCCCTGTGTCACTCAGCCACCACCCTGGACCCCCTATTTCCCCAGACCACCTCTGCTTAGCCCTCCCCAGTGTCCTGGCCTTAGAAACTCCCAGGGGCTCCCAGACGCGCAGCCTCAAATTAGCCCCTAGCTCCCCGAAGCTGTCCTCTGTCCCCTTCTCTGGCCGTCCTTCCTCATCCTGCCTCTCACTCTACCCTGAAGGCTACCTCTGTCGCCTCCTCTTAAGTGACCTAGGAACCCAGCACCCGGGACCTGGCCTATCCCCTGTCCACGCTGTCAGGCAGGCCAGGGACCCTGCCCTCAGCTCTCTGCTGTTGGTGCCCCAGAGGCTACGCTGAGCTTGGGCGCTCCCTCCTGCCCCAGAAGCAGGCCCCCAGCGCCCAGCTGCCCAGCCGCCATGCACAAGCATTACAAAGTTCACTTCGCCAAGGACGCCCAGACCCCTAGCGGGCACTACTTCTGGGACCCAGAGTTGGGGCACCAAAAAGGTACGGGCTCAGTTTGGGGGTGGGTGATGGCTGGCAGAGGCCTGTGAGGGAGCTGGAGTGGAGGAACAGAAGGGGGGCCACCAGCGCTCCCCCAAGAGGCATCTGCCTAGTGGAGTGGAGGTCAGGACCCAGGAGCGGGATCACAGGGCCTGGGGTCCCAAAGATAGGAGCCCGGGCTGGAGATGGAAGCTGGGGGCCGCTCGGCCTGCCCTTCCCTCCCCAAACCCCCAGGCCTATGTGGGCAGCCCCCAGCCTGGAGGGAGCCCCCACACTGAACCTGTCTGGATGAGGCTGGACCCAGTTTCTGGTGGCGGCCACAGGTGCTCTTGCTCAGGGCGGGGAGGGGGTAGCGCCCTTCCACTGGGGCTGATTCAGCCTCCTCAGGGCCGGAGCTTCCCAGGTCACCACCCTTCCTGCCACCCTGGCCTGAGCTGGGGACAAGGGACACCCCGCTTCCCAATCCCTGGCCTATCGCTCTCCACGGCCTCCACCCATCACCCTGGCCTTCCTGGGTCAGCCAGGCCAGCTCCCAGTGGATCCTCTCAGTTTCCCTGACCCCTGCACTGCGCGCACGCCCCAGGGATCCCGGAATCTGGAGTGGCTGGCACCCGCCTCCACCGAAGCGGAGCCTCAGGCGTCTCTCTGGCCCCTGACTGAAGCCCAAACCTGGCACCTTCCCCGCTCCCACCCATGGGACAGCACAGACCCCGGGCCCCTCCCCTGCCCGTATCTCCCCCTCATATGATCTGACTTTCTGAGGGGTCTCCGGGGCTCCCAAGAATACTCCGGCCCCCGGGTTCTACCTGAAGACTGGATCTGGCTCGTGCCGGTGCCCCCCGGAGGCCCAGTCACCCCCACTTCCTTCCTTCCAGGATGCTGTCATCCGCGGCGCCAGGACTCAGCAGCCCTCCGAGCCCACGGGCCCTGTCGGCCTTCCCCCCAGTCACACTGGCAGCTGGCCTACCACAGCCACCGAGCAGGTGGCAGTGGCTGGCGCCGGGGCCCCCCACCCTCCGTCCAGCAGAAGCAGTGGCAGCCCCAGCCCCCACCTCCCAGCCCCATGCGGCAGCGGCTCTGCCCCATTCACAGAGCCCAGAAGGGGCTGCCTGCAACCTCCACTGTCCCCAGGGGACCAGCCGGCGCCCCCCAGGCGCCCCCCTTAGCCACCACAGCACTCGCCACGGCCAGCAGCGGAACAGCCCTACGCTCCGCGGCCAGCGTCCTCCTGGAGCCCAGCGAGCCCACTGATGCCCGTCCCCTGCCCGCCCCGGCGGCCTGCGGCTCCTTCACCTACAGCTCCGGTGCTCACCCTGGCCTTCCTGGGGGCTCCGTGCCCGCTCCCCTTGCACCTGCCTTCTTCATCCACACCCTGGTCCCTGTCCGGGGGTGGTGCATCCCTGGCCCTGGGGCTCAGGCCGGCTGCCTCTGCTTTGCCTGTCGGGGTCTAAGGCTTCCAGGCCAGGCCTGTCCCGGCGCCTCCATCCTGGGCCAGGCAGCGAAGGCCTCCCTCTCATTCCCCCTCTCCCTCTGCTGACACCCTGGCTGTGCTCTGGTCTCTTCTCAGCCACCTCCTCTGGCCCAGCAGGCTACAGGGGACATGGGGCAGGGATGGCGAGCCCTGGCTTGTTGGCGGCTCTGGGGTGGGGGAGACAGAGCTAGGGAGTGGCCTGGGGAGCAAGAACAAAGGTCAGCAACAGGAGGACCCACTCCCTCATTCACGCCATGACTAGGTATCCAGCACCCTGAGCGTGCCAGGCCATTCTGGGGGCACAGTGGGGAGCAGGATCAACAGACATCTCTGTCTTAATGGGGCTCACATTGTATTGCAGCCGGGAGCGGGTACAGGAAAGATTAAGTTTAAAAGTGTGGCTGGGAGCCCAGGCACGGTGGCTCACGCCTGTAATCCCAGCACTTTGGGAGGACAAAGCAGGTGGATCGCTGGAGGTCAGAGGTTCGAGACCAGCCTGGGCAACATGGTACAACCTGTCCCTACTAAAAGAACAAAAATGGCCGGGCGCGGTGGCTCAAGCCTGTAATCCCAGCACTTTGGGAGGCCGAGGCGGGTGGATCACGAGGTCGAGAGATCGAGACCATCCTGGTCAACATGGTGAAACCCCATCTCTACTAAAAATACAAAAAATTAGCTGGGCATCGTGGCACGTGCCTGTAATCCCAGCTACTCAGGAGGCTGAGGCAGGAGAATTGCTTGAACCCAGGAGGCGGAGGTTGCGGTGAGCCGAGATCGCGCCATTGCACTCCAGCCTGGGTAACAAGAGCGAAACTCCATCTCAAAACAAAAAAAAAAAGAACAAAAATTAGCTGGGCATGGTGGTGGGTGCCTCTAGTCCCAGCTACTTAGGAGGCTGAGGCAGGAGAATCACTTGAACCTGGGAGTGATTCTGGAGGCTGCAGTGAACCAAGATCACACCACTGTACTCCAGCCTGGGCAACAGAGCGAGACTCCATCTCAAAAAAAAAAAAATAAGAAAAAGTGTGGTTGGGTGCACTGGCTGACACCTGTAATCCCAGTAGTTTGGGAGGCTGAGGCTGGAGGATCACTTGAGGCCAGGAGTTCCAGACCAGCCTGGGCAGCATAGTGAGGCCCTATCTCTATAAAAAATAAAATAAAAATTAGCCAGCGTAGTGGTGCATGGCTGTGGTCCCAGCCACATGGGTGGCTGAGGCAGGAGGATCCCTTGAGCCCAGGAGTTCAAGGCTGCAGTCAGCTATAATTGTGCCACTGCACTCCATCCTGGGTGACAGAGCAAGACCTTACCTCTAAAAATATGCCACCCAGTGACAACCACACTAGGAAAAAATAAAGCAAGGGGAGGAGATGGGGGAGGTCAGGTTTGCAGATTAAATAGGGTCGTCAGGGTGAGCCTCATCAAGGCAACGTTTGCGCAGAGGCCCTGGGGAGGCATGTTCCCACCCAGCAAGGAGCCAGCACTTGGGATTTCTCCCTAAAGGAGGCAGGAGCCACAGGAGGCCTTGGAGCTGAGGAGGCACGTGAGCTGATCCCCAGGAGAATGGGCTGGAGGAGGAGGAGATTATGAGAATCCAGGCCAGAGGCGCTGGCGGCCTGGCTGGGGCGGGGGCAGCAGAGATGGAGACACAGCTAGCTGGTTTCTAGGTCTGGCTTGAAAGTGGAGCAGGAGGGACTCAACAGGACTCTAGGTTGGGCAAGGCCTTGTCACCCGAGCCTCAGGGCTGTGATGTCCATTTCACACACAGGGAAACAGAGGCTGGATGAGGTGGGGCCGCCCAGTGATCTGGCAGAGCTGGAATCAGGCCCGCCCAGCACACACCTCAGGAGACCTACCCGAGTCTTCCTCTTGGCCTCCTGGCTCTGCTGCCAGGCGTGGCCCGTTTCCCATGGCCCCTCAGGCCTCTCTGAAAGTGGCCGTGTTGCCCTCACTGTGCACCGCAAGGCTGGCCCCATGTACCTCCCAAAACTGAACCCTATCTTTTTGAGACCCCATTTCCAGGTCTGAGAAGCAATACTCAGTCGGGACAGGGTACCCTCTGCAGAGTGGGTGCTATAGTGCCAGTGCCTGGTTCCCTACTGGAGACCACGGCATTGACCGAGGGCCTGGTGCCAGCCAGACCCCTTAGCATCCCCACTACCCGGCATCTCTGCCGCCCCACTCTTCAGAGGGAACTGAGCCTCTCAGAGGTGGCTCTCCCTGGAGTCTGCAGAAAAAGGCGATGGGGCCGGGACTGGAGCTTCAGTCTGGTCATCTCTCTCCCAAGCCTGGGGTCAGGTGGGATTAGTGTCTTGCGGGCATGGGGTCAGGTACGGGATGGACAGAAGCTGAGAGGAGCCGGCAGTCAGGGCCTCTCCATGCTGGGGCTGGGCCAGCAGAGCAGGCAGGAGTGGCCCGGGGTCCTGCTGACGGTGGAAACTGCTGTCTCAGCATCCCACGGCCTCAGATCCCAAATAAGGGCCTTTGGGGTTTTCTGGGTTGGGGGGTATCATAGGTGGGTGACCAAGCAAGCCTGATCACCTGGGGCCGGGAAAGCTGACTTCCTGCAGCCTCAGCCTGGTGGGACCCAAAGGGGCATGTCTGGCTCTGGAGGTGGAGGCCGCTGGTGGCCACAGAACCCTCCACTGCAGGGTTTGACCTGAGTCCCCTTAGCATGGGGTGCCAGGGAGAGGCCAATGGTGGTGGCTGTGGAGGGCAGATGGGAGGAGGGTGATGCCTGGCCAGCCGCCTGACTCAGTGTCCCCACCCTCACCCACCAGACATCCTAACAGAGGATGACGTCTACTGCAGCTGCCTGGCCAAGACACTCTGCCACGTGCCCGTCCCTGTGACCGTGGGTTTCTACGCTCCCTTTGGCTGCCGCCTGCACATGATGCTGGACAAGATCACGGGTGAGGAGCTGTGTGTTCACTGTGGGGAGGATGAGAAACGGGGCCTCTGGTGCCCGCCCAGCTCCAGGCTTCTCCCACATCCCCCAATCCCTGTGGCCAGCCTGCCCCAGCCCAGGCCCTCCCCAAGCCCATGCCTGTACCCCAGGCTCTGCTCCCCTGGCCTCCCGACCACCTCCAAGTCTTACCCTTTCCTGCCTCCACCACCAAATCCACTCCAAAAACTCTAGACAGGTCTGGTACTGTCCCTCCTATGCTCAGCGCCTCCCATGCTCCCCAGCACGTGAGAGAGAAAGCCCAGAGTCTTTATTGAGGTCGCAGGCTCCTGCCAAGGCCCTTCCAGCCTCTGTGCCCCCCAGACCCATCTCCTAGGGCCTAGTGGTCACCTGACAGACAGATGCTAATTGAAGACACGAGCTGGAAACTGCAAGGTTCCCCAGCAGCTTTTTTTTTTTTTTTGAGACGGAGTCTCACTCTGTTGCCCAGGCTGGCCTCAGCCTCCTGAGTAGCTGGGATTACAGGCATGTGCCACCATACCTGGCTAATTTTTTTGTGTTTTTAGTAGAGATGCGGTTTCACCATGTCGGTCAGGCTGGTCTTGAACTCATGACCTTGTGCTCTTCCCTCCTTGGCCTCCCAAAGTGCTGGGATTACAGGTGTGAGCCACCCAAACCGGACCAGTCTTTTTTTTTTTTTTTTCTTTGAGACAGAGTCTCGCTCTGTCATCCAGGCTGGGGTGCAGTAATGTAACCTTCACTCCCGGGTTCAAGCAATTCTGCCTCAGCCTCCCAAGTAGCTGGAACTACAGGTGCCTGCCACCACGCCTGGCTAATTTTTAGTAGAGATGGGGTTTCACCGTGTTGGGCAGGCTGGTCTTGAACTTCTAACCTCATGTGATCTGCCCACTTCAGCCTCCCCAAAAGTGTTGAGATTACAGGCAAGAACCACTGCACCCAGCCTCCCCAGCAGTTTTGATCTGGATCAGGCCTTGCTGGAGCTCAGACTTCATCCCCATGTGCAGCCAGAGAGGCCGAGTCTGGCGTTCCTCCTCCATGTGCCCAGCCCCGGTGCAGGCCCAACAGCCTTTCATTCCTGTGGTGCCCACTGAGAGCTCACTGTCCTGCCCCCTGTTGTCACAGAGGAACAAACAGGCTCCCAGGAGGAGAAAAGATGAGGCTATAAGGAGCAGAGAGCCAGCATGATGGAGTCCCTACTCCTGCGGGTACCGCAGACACTCGGGTCCGGTCACTTCCTGACCTCAGATTTCTCAAGATCCATTGTTCAGGCATTCCCCCAGCTGGTGCCCAGGGTACAGAGTGGTGACCAAGACAGGCAGGACCCCACCCTTCCGGCTCACAGCAGCAGGGGAGAGAGACTTATCCTCAGACAGTGATGACCCAGAGTGGGAATGGCTGAGGGCCCCCGACCCAGCCTGGGGACCAGGGAGGGCTTCCTGGAGGAGCATCAGTAAGTCAGGAAGATAAGACCAAGGCTGTATCCTGCTGCCTAGCATAGCTGGTTCTCAGCGTCTCATTCATTCATCCCTTAGACCGACCACTTATGCCCTACTTCACTCTCAGAACCTTCCTAGAGCCCTCCACACCCTCGATCCCTTGCCCAGCCCTGCCTCTTCCTCGTGTCCCTTTTTGCGCCCTCCCATCCTCTCTCCTTTGCCTGCTCTACCTCTGCCCATCCGGACCCCCAAGCCAGGCCTTCAAACCGCTTCCGGTCCAGGCCTGGCTCCAGGCCTCTCCACGCACCGCCTTGTGCACCCGCTTCTAGCTCTTTAAGGAGTGGCCGCGGCTCCCTTCCTGCCCCTCGCCTCTCCAGGGGCGCCCTGCTCCGCCGGTGCTAGGCCCCTTCCCGGCCCCGCCCACCCCGGCGGGTCTGCGGCTCCCACGCGCTCCCTTCCAGCCCGGACCTCTGCTGGGCCCTCCCAGTCTATCCAGGAGCGCCCCGCCCCGTCTAGGCCCCGCCCGCCCCGGCGGGTCTGTGGCTCACGCTGCTCCCGGGCTCCCTTCCCGCAGCGCTGATGCAGCAGGAGGCGGCGCAACGCGAGAGCGAGGAGCTGCAGCACGTGCAGTGGCGACCGCGCGCCGTGAGCGGCTGGGGCGTCCCGCAGCTGCTGTGGTACCTGGTGTTCCTGCAGCCCATCATCACCGAGGTGCACCTGCGGCGCAGGAACGTGCAGTTCCTCTTCATCCGCTTTAGCGCCTGGCAGTACGCGGGCACCGACAAGCTGTGGGCCGGCCTGGTGACCACACTGTGCGAGGGCATCCGCCACCACTACGGCGCGCTGCCCTTCAGCGTGTACTCGGTGCTGGGCAACAAGCCGGCCACCAGGCAGGGGTGCTGCCACAATGAGTGGCACTGCCGGCGCCGCGTGTGCCTGGGGCTGCTGGTGCTGCTGGCGGCGCTGGGCCTGGGCGTGGGGCTGCTCTACCTGTCCCTGGGCGGCCACGCGCCGGGCCACGGCAGTCCGAGCGGCAGCCTGCTCAAGGTGTTCGGCGGCGCGGCCACCACGCTGTCGGGCTCGGGGCTGCTCATGGCCGTGTACTCGGTGGGCAAGCATCTGTTCGTGAGCCAGCGCAAGAAGATCGAGCGGCTGGTGTCGCGCGAGAAGTTCGGCAGCCAGCTGGGCTTCATGTGCGAGGTGAAGAAGGAGGTGGAGCTGCTCACCGACTTCCTGTCCTTCCTGGAAATCTACCAGCGGCGCCGGCTGCGCGTGGTGCTGGAGGTCACCGGGCTGGACACGTGCTACCCGGAGCGCGTGGTGGGCGTGCTCAACGCCATCAACACGCTGCTGTCCGACAGCCACGCGCCCTTCATCTTCATCCTGGTCGTGGACCCCAGCATCCTGGCCGCGTGCCTGGAGAGCGCGGGCAACATGAAGGGCACCGCCGACAACGGCTACCTCTTCCTCAACCGCACGGTCACGCTGCCCTTCTCCGTGCCCATCATGGGCCGCCGCACCAAGCTGCAGTTCCTGCACGACGCCGTGCAGAGCCGCGACGACCTGCTGTATCGCGAGATCACGCGCAAGCCGGGGGCCGCTGGGGGCGGCGGGGGCGAGAGTGCGCAGCTGCTGGCGGTGCAGACGCAGGTGGGGCCCGAGCGCGGACAGGGCCGCATCGACGCGGAGGCGGCGCGGCGCATCCAGGAGGCGCTCTTCTGCCTGCACGACGAGCGCGACTGCCTCTACGAGTACGTGCCCGACAACGTGGTGTCCATGCGGCGCATCGTCAACACCGTGCCCATCACCGTGCGCCTGCTGCAGCAGCAGCAGCAGCAGGGTGACTTCGGGGGCCCCACGCCGCGCCAGGCGGTGGCGTGGGTGGTGCTCGCCAACCAGTGGCCGTGCCGCCTGAGCTGGGCGCTGCAGTGCCTGGAGGACCGGCAGCAGACCGGGGGCGCGCCAGAAGGTCGCGCGCGCCTCTGGGACGTGTTCCGCGACAACAGCCGCGAGCTGCACACCATGACCAAGGCGTTGCAGAATGTGCTGGACCTGGACGGTGACCCCGAGCTCTTCGAGCGCTTCCTGGGCGCCGACTTCCCCTTCACCGTGGCCGAGGCGCAGAGCCTGCTGCGCTGCACGGTCAACCTGGACCACTCCATCCGCCGGCGCATGGGCCTCATCCGAGCCGTCAGCACGCTCAAGCCGCCCAGCCCGCCCAAATCCCCTGCCCGCGATGCCCCCCACGCTGCCCACCGGGCCAACAGCGCCTCTAGGGCGTCCCCATCGGGCCGTGCCGCAGGGCAAGCCGGCGAAGGCCACCACGCTGGGGACTTGGCCCATGCGGGACAAGCCATGGCCAGTGGCCTGAGCACCCTTCTGTCCAGGGGAGTCCAGGCCAGGTGTGCCCTGAATGGAGGACTTGTCAGGCAGCAGGAGACAAGGGCTTCTCCATCTGCCCAGATAGGGGAATAGGGGGCTGGACTGGGGCCACAGCCCAGGGTCCCAATGAGGCCTGTGAATCTGAGCCAGAGCCGTGGACATAGCTTCCAGGAGCGGGGCTGTGAGCCAGTGTCAGTGTGAGAGCGGGTGCAGAAGGACCAGTGAGGAACTCAGGGTATACGTGCAACAAATAGAGGCGTCGAGAGCCCTGAGTTGGTCGTTACATCCTGATCTGACCAGGGACCAGGCCTGCCCCATCCTGCCACCAGGACCTGCCCTGTCCTGCCAAGCCCACTTCCTCCTCTGAGCCACGCTGGCCGCCTCAGCTGGCATCTCTGTGGCAGGAGGGGCTGCGGGGGCGGTGGGCGAGGCGGGTGAAGCTGCAGAGCTGGGAGATGACAGGTAGATGGGCCGGGTTGACTAAGGCAACATGGAGCGCCCAGGCCTCAGGGAATCCCAGTCCTTGTCCCCATGCCCTAGCCTGCCCCTCTGTGAGCAGGGCAGGAGCTGGCATTTCCAAGGGTGACCTCAGTGAACTCAGCAGGCTGCTCCACCCCCAGGAAGGCTCCACCCTCAATGTAATGGGTTAATTAGATCTTATTGGCACCTCAGTTGACTGGGGTGGGTGGCACTAACCTCCCCCAGATAAATAACTGTCCACAAGATGCCTGCATTACAAGTCACTCCAGGGCCACCCAAGGGCCACTGGTTAGTCCCTGACACTACCGCACCAGCCCCTTGATGAGGATAGGGAAGTTGAGCAGAGATGAGGATACAGGGCCCAAGTCAGCCAGGCAGGAGGGCTTACACTAAGGCTTCCCACCTTCCCTCTGGGTAAAGCCCTGGGCTGGTGGGTGGCTGTCGCTCCTCTGGGCAGTTCCTGACTCCTCATTGGTCCAATGTTCAGCCACATGCTCAAGACCTGGGGTGCCTGGCCCAGTCCCATGCATGTGCGGGCAGGGGCCGCAGGGACCAACACTGAACATAGCCCTGGGATGAGGCTGAGACTTCTGAGCCAGGGCCCTGAGGCTGGCAGAGGGAACAGTCCCTGAGGAACTCGAGCTCTGCAAAGGCACCCACCCTCCGGCCATGGGGCTGGGGTCACTGACCTCACAGTTCCTTAGCTCCAAGGCTGGCCACGGCATCCAGGTCTGGCTGCAGCACCGGAGTCCTCTGGGCACAGCAATGGTGTCACCAGTGCATGCAGGTCAGTGGGAGCCCACCGTGATCTTCCCTGGAGCTAAGCGAGCAGAGGTTTCTCATTCCTGGCCTGGCTAAGCTGGTAGGATATGCCTGGACCTCCTGGGAGCTGTTTCCCAGCAGTCAGGGAGCACTGCCCTCAGAGGGAGAGGCATGGGGCCTCGTGACATCGTTGAGTCTGTGTTTCTGTAGATGTGCGATTAGGGTCAATATATCCCTTTAGCCTCCCTTAAGCCAGTTTCTTTGGGATTGTTTCTTACCACCTGGAATCCAGGCTGAAAATAAATTTTCACTCCTGTTACCAGGAGTGGGTGCTGTGAGAGATGCTAATGTGCAGACTTGGGTGGAGGTGAGGACGGGACTGAGGCCCCCCATGACTCAGTAAAAAGCCGCACCAGCCTGGCCAACATGGTGAAACCCCATCACAAGACAATTAGCCGGGGGTGGTGGTGCGCACCTGTAATCCCAGCTACTCATGAGGCTGAGGCGGGAGGATCACTTCAAACCAGGAGGCAGAGGTCGCAGTGAGCAGAGATGGCGCCTGCACTCCAGCGTGGGTGACAGAGACTCCGTCTCAAAAAAACAGAACAAAGCTGCAGCTTCTGTTACGTGGTACCAAGCAGCGGCCAAACTGTTGCCCACAGTATCTTCACGTGGAGCTGCTGTGAGAACTGGAGCCTGCGTGGGCCATGGGAGCGGTTCTCACCAACAGAAAGGGAGCATGGCTTTCTCCGGGCAGTGTTACAGAGCACGCTTCCCTTCACTCCCCTCCCCCATCTGCCCACCTGGTGCTGGGACCCCTGAGGCCCCGAGGAGCGACAGCACCCTGAGCTTGGAAGGGATCTGGGTCCAGGAGTAACTTGGTGAACAGCTGTCTGCCACTCTGAACATCCACGTGTGACGATAGGCATCTCCCGTGTTAGGTCATGGAGATCCTCCATGAAACAGACCCCCTACATCTTCAGCAAAGGCTACCAAAACATGACAAGCTCGGGTGACACTTGGGTGGCTGAAGGGAAAGGGAAGACAAGACGGCAAGGGGGATCCTCTCAGCCTCCAGCCCTTGATCTGGGACCTTTGAGTCAGAAAATCAGGAGCACTGCAGGCTGGTGTGTCCTGATACAGCTGCAGTTCCTACAGCTGCTCTAACGCAGTCTGACAGACCACATGCCTTTGAAGAACAAACTATCATCTCTCGCTTCTGGAGGCTGCAAGTTCCAGATGAAGGGGGTCCCTCTGCCTGCTCCCCGCTCCTGGTGTGCTGCTGGCCATCTCTGCACTCCCTGGCTTGCAAATGCCATCACCCCGTCCTGTCTTCATCCTGTGGCAGTCTCCCTGTGCCCAAATGCCCCTTTTGGTAAGGACACCAGGGGCCGGGTACAGTGGCCGAGGATCACGAGGTCAAGAGATCGAGACCATCCCGGTCAACATGTTGAAACCCCATCTCTACTAAAATACAAAAAAACAAAAAACAAAAACAAACAAACAAACAAAAAAAACCTGCTGGGCATGGCCTGTAGTCCCAGCTACTCAGGAGGCTGAGACAGAATTGCTAGAACCCACAAGGCGGAGGTTGCAGTGAACCAAGATTGTGCCGTTGCACTCTAGCCTGGGCAAGAGTGACTCTATCCCAAGAAATAAAAACAAACAAATAAAAAAATAAAACAAATTAAAAAAAAAACAAATAAAAAAATAAGGACATCAGGCAGACTGGAGCAGGGCCCACCCAAATGACCTTTTTTTTTTTTTTTGAGACGGAGTTTCGCTCTTGTTACCCAGGCTGGAGTGCAATGGCGCGATCTCGGCTCACCGCAACCTCCGCCTCCTGGGTTCAGGCAATTCTCCTGCCTCAGCCTCCTGAGTAGCTGGGATTACGGGCACGCAACACCATGCCCAGCTAACTTTTTGTATTTTTAGTAAAGACGGGGTTTCACCATGTTGACCGGGATGGTCTCGATCTCTTGACCTCGTGATCCACCTGCCTCGGCCTCCCAAAGTGCTGGGATTACAGGCGTGAGCCACCGCGCCCGGCAAAGACCCTATTTCTAAGTGAGCTCACATTCTGGGGTACTGGAGATAAGGACTTTTAACGTCTTTTTTTGTGGGAGACACAATTCAACCCCCAGCAGTAGGAAAGGCTCAGTTCCTCACTCCCAAGCTCAATTTGGTGAAAGCAAATGCAAGGATCAAGCGACAGGCTGGGAAGAGGACCCCTGTTCCTCCCCTAGCCCACCCCACCTGGAGTGGGAAGGCAGACGGCCAAGGGGCTTGTGAGACCCCAACACAACTGCCTCCATGGAGGCTGAGACCAGGAGCAAAGGCTAATATTGACCAAGGGCCTCCGAAGATCTTTGGGGCACTGTGCTGACCCCAACCAGGCAAAGGACGGCAGTCTCTCAGTACCTTGAAGCAAACACCTCACATGCCCCAGCCTCACCCAGAGGGGCTGGATCCACAGCCAGGAGGGGGCCCCTTCTTCCCCTTCACCTGCAGCCACATGGAACATTAGCAGAGCTGGGGACAGGCTGGCGGTACAGGGACAGAAGGGTGCTGCTGGCTGCTGTTCTGTGTAGCTGCCCTAAGTCCCTCGCCCAAATCAGTCTTGGTCGTAGCTGCCCTGGGGAGCAGTTAGGACACTCACAGCTGCATGGGACCAAACGGCAAACCAGCAACAGCTTCATGAGGTGTTCCGCACTAAGGCCAGGGCGGCTGGGCAGCGGACTCCTTGTGTGCCCAGAAGCTGAATGACACCAGGGTTCCAGCCAGCAATGCTTCCTGTGACCTCACCACATCACCTCATCCATGATAACCTCCCACATAGAAAAGAAGGGGGTGGGTGGCCTCATTTTCTTTTTTTGAGACAGAGTTTCACGCTGTCGCCCAGGCTGGAGTGCAGTCGTGTAATCATAAATCATAGCTCACTGCAGCCTCAACCTCCGGGGTTCAAGTGATCCTCCCAACTTAGCCTCCTGAGTAGCTGGGACTACAGGCGTGTGCCACCATGCCCAGCTAATTTTAGTATTTTCTGTGGAGATGGGGTTTCACCATGTTACCTAGGCTGGTCTCAAATTCCTGAGTTCAAGTGATCCCCCGACCTCGGCCTCCCAAAGTGGTGTTGGGATTACAGGTGTGGGCCACCATGTCCAGCCTGCTCTCTCATTTCCTAAAGGGAGAAAACAGACCTCCCAGAAACGCTCAACAGCCCCCCGTGGCACCCCAGGCCCGTGCTGGTGAAGGACAAGCTGCCCAACAGGCTCCTTGGTGCTGGCCTGGCCCTGGGCACACTCCAGCTGCATGACACCAGGGCGGGCAGGGACGACCTGAAATCTGTTCCCACTGAGGGACAGGTGGCTGGCAGAGCCCCACCATATCCAGCATCCTGCGATCTTGGACCTGAATCTGGGAGGAATTCGGGGCCCATCTCTCCGTGCAGAAGGGATGGGTGTCAACTGGCCTGGCTGTGAGGTGGCTGTATGAGACACCGGAGCATGGACACAGAGAAGAGGGGACTGTGGGGGAAGACACAGCAATGCCTGGTCAGCCTCCTGAGCCCTGCCAGACACTGTGACAGCCTCCACCCAGCCCACTGCAGCAGCCACCCCCAGGATCCCCATGAAGCAGACATCGGGCAAAGTGAACCCAGCCCCAGTTTATTAGAAAAGGTGTGAACAGAGTTGCACCGACGGGAGTAGCCCCAGCCCTCTGCCCACCCTCACCCATACCCATGCCGCCCGCCCCCCATGGGTTGTAGTGCCTCTCAGGGCGCAGCCTCCAGTGGCCTGGACAGCAGGGTCCCGGAGTGCCGGCTGCTCCCGCCCCAGCTCCCTGATAGATTTATTGCACTTGAGAAAAAGAAAGCTCTGATCCTCTGCCCCCATCCCCCCACCCTGCCCAGCCTGCACCATCTGGGGCTGTTCTGCGAATCTCAACCACCACCAGCACGCACCGACCCTCCCACACCAGCCCTGTGCCTGGGGCCACAGGGGACCATCCCACCACCACCCAGGAACCCTGCCCTCCGCAGGGCAAGCCTGGCCCCTCCAGAACAGGCGCCTGATGTCCTTGGAGACCTCCTCCTCCTCCTGCTCCCCCTCCTCCCATTCACCCCCCAGAGTCTTCCAGTGGTGGGCTCATGAATAGAAGTGCTTGAGTCGCATAGGGAGGGCCACTCCCTAGAGCTCCTGCACCCCTTGTAGTGTTGCTGTGGGCGGAGGGGGGCCCCAGAATGGCCCCCACCCCTGGCATCCTGGGCCTCAGGAAGGCTGGGGGGAAGGCGAGCAGATTCTCATGGCTCTGGCCTCAGCTCATCGCAGACCGACTGGAAAAAGGGAACTTGAGGAGAGATTGGGGTAGAGAGTGTCAGAGCCAGGGGTCCTCTCAGCCCCTCCCCAGCGCCCCGGGGCCCAGGCTTGCCCTCACCTAAAGTGTCACAGTGTCTCCTGTCCGGATTCCTGACTGGCTTCCAGAAGCAGCTCCTCGAGCTCCTTCTCGTTCTTGGAGCAGCTCAGCTCTGCGTGGGAGGACGGGCCAGCCCCCGTCAGCCGGGTGGGGCAGATACAACCTGTTCCCACAGCCCAGCCCCAGCCAGACACTTGGGGCCTGTGGAGATCCCGGGGCCCACTGAGCCAATGAGGCTCAAGGCAGCACACCTTACATGCCCACCCAGGGAGAGCGCCCAGGGTCCAAGGGAAGCAGGGTGGAGTCCGGGGACTAAGTCCCACTTGTCCTGGCCCCTGCAAGAACCCTTTGAGAGAGGGAGAAACGGAGGCCCACAACAGGCAGGGGCCTGCCTGGGGTCACACAGCACCCAGGGCCCCCTCGTCATCTGCCCCAGGGCCCCTCTCACCGTGCTCCAGGCCGCAGCTGCCCTGTTTGGCCTCAGGCCCCGGGGGCGGCTCTGGGGGCAGTGCCAGGGCGAACTCGGGCTTCAGTCCATTGGGCAGCGCTGGCCCTGACTGAGGCGGCTCTGGTGGTGGCTGAGGCTCGGAGGACCCTGTGTTCCAGGTGTCAGTGGCCCCAGCTGGGGGTAGGGCAGGTGAAGTGGGTGGGGAGGGAGGGGGTGAAGGAGGAGGTGGGGGAGAGGGCAGGCCAGGGGACGCAGGGGGCTCTGCCCTCTCAGGTGGGCTCTCCACCCGGGTCACCACAAACACCTTGTGGCCCCGGCCCGGGCTGGACACAGAAATCCGCTGCTCAGTGGGCAGGGAGGGGCTGCCTGGGGGACTCCTGTCCCCAGAGCCCAGGGAGTCCATGGGGGGCACCAGGGCAGGACAGGGGGTCTCGCCCCTCTCCCTGTCCTCTTCCTCCTCATCCTCCCCATCCGAGTCCGAGTCTGAGTCCGAGTCCGGGCTGGGTCCGGGGCTGGGGGCCCCGTTCTGCACCCCGGCAGCGGGCTCGTC